CCCCAGTGTCACCCTATGTCACCCCAGTGGCACCCCAGTGTCCCCCAGTGTCCCCCCAGTGTCACCCAGTGTCCCCCCAGTGTCCCCCACACCTCCGGATGTCGGCCCCGCCCATTCCCCGTCCTTCATCACCTCCCTCCCCCCGTCCCCCGGGAGGGGACACGCGGGGCGAGGGGAGCCGGGAGGAGCAGGAGGCTGTTCCAGGCTCCGGAGCCATTCCCGGGGCAGGGTCTGCTTCCAGGGACACCGCAGCGTGCCCGGGGCCCGAGGCCATTCCTGGGGACAGGAGCCATTCCTGGGGACAGGAGCCATTCCCGGGGACAGGAGCCATTCCCGGGGACAGGAGCCATTCCCGGGGACAGGAGCCATTCCTGGGGACAGGAGCTATTCCCGGGGACAGGAGCCATTCCCGGGGACAGGAGCCATTCCTGGGGACAGGAGCCATTCCCGGGGACAGGAGCCATTCCGGGGGACAGGAGCCATTCCCGGGGACAGGAGCCATTCCTGGGGACAGGAGCCATTCCCGGGGGACAGGAGCCATTCCCGGGGACAGGAGCCATTCCCGGGGACAGGAGCCATTCCTGGGGACAGGAGCCATTCCTGGGGACAGGAGCCATTCCCGGGGACAGGAGCCATTCCCGGGGACAGGAGCCGTTCCCGGGGGACAGGAGCCATTCCCGGGGGACAGGAGCCATTCCCGGGGACAGGAGCCATTCCTGGGGGACAGGAGCCATTCCCGGGGCCCGAGGCCATTCCCGGGGACAGGAGCCATTCCTGGGGACAGGAGCCATTCCCGGGGACAGGAGCCATCCCTGGGGGACTGGAGGTTGTTCCCGGGAGCCGGAGCCCATTCCCGGGGGCAGGAGCCATTCCCGGTACTCAGGAACCATTCCCGGGACCAGGAGCCCGTTCCCGGGGGCTGCAGTTTGTTCCCAGAGGACCGGAGCCCATTCCTGGGGGCAGGAGCGGTCCCTGTTGGCTGGGGGCCGCTCCCGAGGCAGGATGTGGCTCCCTGGAGCCCCCGACGCCATTCCTGGGGTCTCTCCCTAATCCCATCCCATTATCCCATCCCATTATCCCATCCCATTATCCCATCCCAGCCCCTCCTCCCGGGCCCCGCGGGGTGGGGGGGGTCACCCGCGGGGCCGTCCCGGGGGCGGATTTGGGGGCAGATCCCAGGAAATCGGCTCATGCCAGCCCGACGCCAGCGGCCCGCGGCTCCCTGAGGCCGTTCCCGGCGGGATGAGGTTCCCGGTGTCCCTGTGGCTGCCGCTGGCCCTGGCGGTGGCCGCGGTGGCCGCGGGCCAGTCCCCGCTCCAGCGGCGCGTGGTCCGGGATGTGCTGGAATATTTCCACGGGCGCAGCAACGTGCATTTCCTCTTCAAGGAGCGGGAGGTGGACGGGGTCATCGAGAGGGTGAGTAACGGGATCCGGCACCGGGAACGGGCACCGGGAACGGGCACCGGGATCCGGCACCGGGATCCGGCACCGGGATCCGGCACCGGGAACGGACACCGGGATCCGGCACCGGGAACGGACACCGGGAACGGGCACAGGGATCCGGCACCGGGAACCGGCACCGGGATCCGGCACCGGGATCCGGCACCGGGATCCGGCACCGGGAACGGACACCGGGAACGGGCACAGGGATCCGGCACCGGGAACGGGCACCGGAATCCGGCACCGGGAACCGGCACCGGGATCCGACACCGGGATCCCGCACCGGGAACGGGCACCAGGAACGGGCACCGGGATCCGACACCGGAATCCCGCACCGGGATCCGGCACGGCCACGGGAATGGGGAGGGGCTCGGGGAGGGGGCGGCGGTGCCCAGAGGGAATGGGGAGGGGGACGCGGTGCCCAGCAGGGCCAGGCGGTGGGAGGGGTCCCCGAGGGGCTGAGCAGCCCCGGGCACCGGCAGCTGCGATTTGGGCTTTAGGGTGGCCACGAGAGCAGCGAGGGGGTCACGGTGGGTGTCCCGCGGGGAGCGGGTGGTGAGCGGGGTCACCGAGCACGGGACAACAGGGTTCGGGATTCGGGGTTCAGGATCCGGGACCACCACGGGAATTGGGGGGTCCCAGAAGGAACAGAGAGAGGGTTGCGGAGGGGATTGGGGTGTCCCAGAGGGAACGGGCGGGCGCTGGGTGCCGGGGTGTCCGGGGGTGCCCCGGGATCGGCGCTGCTGGCCGGGCTGAGCTCGGTTATTCATTAACGGGTCCGAGCTGATCCCGGTGCCCCGGGTCCATCCCGGGGTGCCTCTGGACACTGTCCCGTGTCTGGGAAGAGCCAGGGCTTCAGGGACCCCCACCCTGGGCCACTTGCCCATGTGGGAGCCACCCTGGGGGCATTCCCGGGATGGATTTACCTGAGGGTCTCCAGCGTTCAGGATCCCTCTCGGGGTTCAGGATCCATCCCGGGGTTCAGGGTCCCTCTCGGGGTTCAGGATCCATCCCGGGGTTCAGGGTCCCTCCCGGGGTTCAGGATCCATCCCGGGGTTCAGGATCCATCCCGGGGTTCAGGATCCATCCCGGGGTTCAGGATCCATCCCGGGGTTCAGGATCCATCCCGGGGTTCAGGGTCCCTCTCGGGGTTCAGGGTCCCTCTGGGGGTTCAGGGCCCCTCCTGGCATCTGGGGCTCCTGTGGGAGCTTTGGGGTCCCTCTCAGGGGTTGGTGTCTGTGGGGTTCAGGGTCTCCCCCAGGATTTGGGGTCACTCCTGGGGTTTGGGGTGTTGCCAGGGGCTGTATTTCCCTGGCAATCTGTGGGGTTTGGGAGTCCCTCCGGAGGTGGGGATCCCTCCGGGGGAGTCCAGGGCCCGTCACCCCCGTTCCCACAGGAGGACCCGTCGGGGACGTTCGTGCAGCTGCGCGTGGGGCTGGCACAGACGGCGTGTCGGAAGCGAGCGCCGCAGCGGCACTGCCGGGTGCTGGAGAGCCGGGTGAGGGGGGACCCTTGGCCCGAGCCCTGGGGGCGTCCCTCCTCCCCCGGGACACATCCCAGAGTGCTCCCATCTCCCTTGGGCACATCCTGGAGCCTTGCCCCCTCCCTCAGGACACATGCCAAGCTGTCCCTCTCCCCTGGAGCATATCCTGGGTGTCCCCTCTCCCCTGGGGCCCATCCCTGGGTGTCCCCTCTCCCCTGGGCCCATCTCTGGGGTCACACAGCCCCTCAGCCTCCCACAGACCCCTGCCCCCCCCCCACGCTGCTGCGGTGCTAGCGTGGGGCACAGGGGACGCTGGTTGGTGCCAGAGAGTCCCCAGGGGTCCCGGAGGTGACATCCCACCGTGTCCCCAGCGGAAGCCGACCTGCCTGGCCTGCTACAAGTTCGACACCGGTGACGTCCCCAAGGTGCTGGACAAGTACCACAACTGCGGCCCCAGCCACCACCTGGCGGCCAAGGTGAGGTGCCCCCAGTGTCCCCCGGTGTCCCCCCTGTGTCCCCAACCGGTGCCAGCCCCTGCTGTGCCCGCAGGAGATCCGGCAGCGGGACGAAGCCGAGTGCCGGGCGGTGGAGGAGGCCGGGAAAGGCGGGGACACGCCGTACCTGCCCGGAATGTTCGCCTTCTCCCGGGGGCTGCCAGCCTAGGTAGGTACGGGGACAGCCCTGGGGACAGCCCTGGGGACAGCCCTGGAGATAGCCCGGGATGGGGACAGGGGGATCCCATCACAGCCCCCACTCCGCGTCCCCTTCCCAGGCACCACGGCACCGATGGACGCTGCCACGGCCACCCCCGCTCGTCACCCCCCGGCACCGTGTGACCAAGGAGGGTCCCGGACGTGTCCCCCGCCCCCGGCTGTCCCCGCTCCGCAGTAAACGCAGCGCTGGCTCCGCTCTCAGGGCTCTCATTCCCGCGCCATCGCCCGCCTGCCGCCCCCGGGGATCAGACGGGGCCCTGCTGGGTGCTCCAGGTCACCACTGCCCGTGTCCCCCGCTGTCCCCAGGGGTGAAGGACAGCGCCGTCACGGGTGCTGAGCAGCGCAGAGACCCCCGAGGCCGCAGGACAGAGGGACACTGCAGGGTGGGACAGGTTTAATGCACAGTGCCACAGCGTGCCCCGTCCCCCAGCCGTGCCAGGGCTGAGGCCGGGCTCCCCACGGCTCCTCTGGTGCTCCCTGGGCATCCCGTGCTGGCACTGGGGGGGTGCCGTGGTCCTGCCGGGGGGGCTCTGGGGTACCCCAGCTCCAGTGTGGGGGTCCCACAGCTCCGAAGATGGAGACAGGCTTGTGGTGGCTCTGGGGGGGTCTCACGGTGACAGTTTGGCTCTGGGGGCTGTCCTGGATCCATTTTTGGGGTCCCATGGCTAAGAAAATGAGGTTGGGCAGGGGTGGCACGGTTTTTGGGGTGTCACAGTTTAGATGAAGCAGCTGGACTCGTGACGGCTCTGGGGGTCCCCCAGCTCAGGCTGTTGTGGCTCTGGGGGCTCTCCTGGCCCCGTTTTTGGGCTCCAGTGGCTCAGAAGACGGCGGCTTTGGGCTGCGGTGGCTTTGGGGGTTCTCCAGTCCCATTTTGGGGCCGCACAGCTCAGAGCACGCGGGCTCCGGGGCCGCGGCTCCTCCGGGGGTTCTCCCGGCCGTGCCGCGGTCCCTGGCGGCTCCGGGCTCCATCCCCGGCCCCATCGCCGCTCTCAGAAGCCGAAGTTGCCGTGGTGGCGGCGGCCGAGCGCCCGCCGGGCCTGGGCGATGGAGTCATCGGCGCGGCGGCCGAGCTCCCGGCACTCCCGCAGGGCCTGGCCCAGCTGCCTGGTGGCCTCCTCCAGCACCGCGCTCCGGGCCAGCGGCCGCGGCTCCCAGAAGCCGGCCCGCACCCAGGGCTGCGGCGGCTCCGCGGGCGCGGCGGGCGCGCTCTCGGTGTCCAGCGCGGCGTCCAGCTCCCGGCACAGGCGGAACAGCTCGCTGCCTCTGCCGGCCACACGCTGCCCGTCGATGGCCTTGAGGCCGGGCAGCATCGCGGCCAGCGCGGCGCGGTAGGCGGGCGAGGCGCACAGGGGGTTGCCCAGGTTGCCCAGCGGGTCCCGCAGCCTCAGGCTCTCCAGGTGCCGCAGGCCCTGCAGGCAGCGCAGCTGGCGGAGGCTGCGCAGGCGGTTCCCGGCCAGGTTGAGCTGGCGGAGGCTGCGGCAGCCCCGCAGCGGCTCCACGCTCGCCACGCGGTTCCCGGCCAGGTTGAGCACGGCCAGGGCGCGCAGCGTGGCCAGCGGCGCCAGCCCCGCGATGGCGTTGCCGGACAGGTCCAGCCACTCGAGGTTGGAGCAGTCGGCCAGGCAGCCCAGGTGGGCGATGCCGCGGCCCCGCAGCCGCAGCAGCAGGATGGACTCCAGCGAGAACTCGCCCGTGGCCGCCTTGAGCAGCGCCGGCGTCACCCGCACCCCGGAGCCTTCGTCCTCCTCCTCCTCCTCCTCCTCCTCATCCTCCGACGGCTCCGACGCCTCCGGCTCCGGCGCCTCCTCCCCGCGCCCCTCCATCCCTGCGGGGGGCTCCTGGGGGCACGGAGGGGCTGCGGTGGCACCGGGGAGCCCCCGCGGCGGCTGTGGGGTGCCCTGAGGCGCGGGGACACGCGTGGGGCACAGGGACACGCGTGGGGCACACCTGGCGGACACGGGGGACGTGTCGTGGGGCACATGTGGGGGTGTCACCTCCTCCTCCCCGCGCCCCTCCATCCCCGGGGGTGGTCCCGAGCAGGGAAAGGGGTTCCGGGAGCCACTGGGGAACGGCTCTGGAAGGACACGGTGGCTGTGGGGACACGTGTGGGACACATCTGGGGGGGTCTCGGGGATGTGGGGACACGCGTAGGACCCAAAGGCCATCGGTGTGGTCAGGGGACACGCGTGGGGTGTAGCTGGGGGGAACCTGGGCCCCGGGACAGGTCCGGAGCCTATGGGGAGCCCCCACACCCCAACCGGGCCTCACCCCAACACCCCCAGCCCCACCGTGTTCCATCCCCGGTGCCCCCGTTACGCCTCCAGAGCCGCCCCTTGCCCCCGACCTCACAGACCCCCCCCCCGTTCCCTCCCCCGGTGCTTCCAGAACCTTCTGCTGCCTCCCCCCCCCTTTTGCCTTCGTGACTCCTCTCCCAGCCCCTCCATTCCACCCGCCCCTCTCCGCCCCCCGGTGCCCCCCAGGTCCCCCCAAATTCCCCAAACCCCGCTCCCCTCCCCCCTCCCCTCCCCCGCTCTCACCGAGCGGCGGCTCCCGGCGGCCCCGCCCCCACCCGAGCCCCGCCCCCGTTGCCATGGGAGCGAGGCCCCGCCCCTCCGGGCCGAGTGTCCGTTCCCGCCCCTGCTTTGACCACGCCCTCCCCCCGGGCCACGCCCCCCGCGACCCCCGGCCCGCCCCCCGGGCCCGAGATTCCCCCCGGCTCCCCGCAAAGTTCCATAAAAACGGCTTTATTGGCATCTCGGCTTCGCTCCGGTGCCTCCTGCCCGCCGGGGGGCTGCCAGCGCCACCGGCCACAGCGCTGCCGGTGGCACAACGGGCCGGGATCCTCCGGGATCCCCCTGCCGGGGCCCCCGGCACATCCCGGGGCTCAGGATGTGGCACCGGCACACCCCGGACATCCCGGGGCTCAGGGGTCACCGGGCACACCCCCGGGGTCAGGGTGTGCCACTGCCGGTCACCGGGGCACCGGGCACACCCCAGTGCCAGGACTCACCACCGGCAGCCGTCAGGGCCCGCGGCACCTCCCGGCACATCCCGACACCGCAGTGCCAGGGATTCACCGCTGGAGCCCCTGGCACCTCCTGGTGTTCAGGGACAGAGGGTGGGGGGCTCTGGCCAGCTCAGCTGGGACCCAGCGATGCCAGTGGCAGCGCTGCCCGTGCCCATCCCCGTGCCAGCAGTGGCCGTGCCCGCCCCCGTGCCAGCGCTGGCCATGCCTGTCCCCGTGCCAGCAGTGGCTGTGCCTGTCCCCGTGCCCATCCCCGTGCCAGCGCTGGCCATACCCATCCCCGTGCCAGCGCTGGCCATGCCTGTCCCCATGCCAGCGCTGCCCGTGCCCATCCCCGTGCCAGCACTGCCCGTGCCCATCCCCGTGCCAGCGCTGCCCGTGCCCGTGCCCGTCCTGGTGCCGGTGCCGTGGGTGCGCTCGTGGCGCTCCAGGTGAGTTTTGCGGGTGAAGCCGCGGCCGCAGCGGGCGCAGTGGTGGGGCCGCAGCCCGGTGTGCACGGCCTCATGCCGGCCCAGGTTTGTCTTGGAGCTGAAGCGGCGGCCGCAGCGGGCGCAGGCGTGGGGCCGGGTGCCCGAGTGCACCAGCAGGTGCCGCGCCAGGTGCGCCTTGCGCCCGAAGCCGCGCCCGCACTGTGGGCAGGTGAAGGGGCGCTGGGCGGGGGTCGCCTGCGGGGGGTCCTGGGCGCAGCCGGGGCCGCCCGTGGCACTCGGCTCCCGCGGCCGGTGGTCCTGGGCACCGGGCGCTTGCGGGGGCTGCGGGAGGGGCTGGGGGTCCCGGCTGCGGTCGGCACCGGGCACCTGTGACGGGAGCTGGGGGTCCTGGGCTCCGGGCTCCTGCGGGGGCTGCAGGGCACAGCCGAGGGCTTGGTTCTCCAGGTGCTGCCACAGGTGCGACGACGAGTTCTGCTTCCAGATGAGGCTCGTCCCACACTGGGGGCAAATCAGCAGCTTCTCCTCAGCGGGGACGTCCCCGTCCTCATCCCGGTGCTCGTCCAGGTGTCCATTCCCGGCTCCCGGCATCGCTTCCGCCGGGCTCTGCTTCCAGCTGAGGCTCATCTCGCAGCCCGGGCAGGGCAGCGGCTTCTCGTCGGCGGGGCCCGGGCCGTGCCCGTCCCCACGGCGGTGGCCGTGTCCCGGCGCGGGGTCCCCGTGCAGGCGCAGGTGGCGCAGGAGGTGCTGGCGGTGTGCGAAGCGGCGGGCGCAGCGCGGGCAGGGGTGCGGGCGCTCCCCGGTGTGGGTGCGCAGGTGCCGGTCCAGGTGGGTTTTCTTGCGGAAGCGGCGGGCGCAGCGCGGGCAGGGGTAGGGCCGCTCCCCGGTGTGCGTGCGCAGGTGGGAGCGCAGGTGGATGCGCTGGCGGAAGCGGCGGCCGCAGTGCGGGCAGGGGAAGGGCCGCTCCCCCGTGTGCACCCGCAGGTGCCGCGTCAGGTGCGCCTTCTTCCCGAACGCCTTCCCGCACTGCGGGCAGCAGAACGGCCGCGGGCCGGGCCGGGAGCAGCGCCCGCAGCCGCCGCCACCGGGGCTCGTCCCCGCGCCCAAGGCGATCCCGACGCCGTCCGCGTGCGGCCCCGGCCCCCAGGCCGGCAGCAGCCCGTATCCCAGCTCCTCCGGGCACGGCTCCTCCGCCTTGCAGGCGCCGGTGTGGCCCGGTGGCCCGGCGGGGGCGGGGGGGAC